ATTAAGTTCTTAAAGTACTAATTCTTGGGTACTAAATGTAATTTAGTATTGTACCTATCTTATATTAGTCTCTTAATTCTTAACTTAGACTTACTAAAGTTCTATTATTATTACTAAAAATTAATTACTCTCTAGATAAACGTATTATAAGAGTAATTTAGTATTATACCTAAATAGCTATAAATAGAAAGCTTCTTTAATCTCTGCGTAGGTTACTATATATAGAGGAGAGGTCTTTAACGCCTCTTTAGGTACGTGTAGCTTAATACTGGATAGGATAAGTGTATTATTAGTTAATACTCTGTTAAGCTTCTATTAGAGGCTTAATTACTATATACTAATCCTAGATTATATAACCTGCGTTACATAATCTTACTCTAATGCTTCTTTAGATATACTTTCTATATTACTCTACTACACTACTAGCTTAGAGCTATTTATATTATAATTAATATCTTACTATAGCGTTATAAGCGCTTTATATTAATATAGCTATACCTTCTAGCAAAAGATTAGCTATCTATTATTTATAATATAAAGATAAGATAGAATTCTACCTATAATATATATAAGTATATAATTAAGCTATAGAGATATATTAATAAATAGCTAAAGTAAGAAATTATCTTTAAGGCTAGTATAGGTACTTATACTAGTAGTATTTTAGCTAAAAATAATACTAGTAAGGTAGACTTTTATAATCTAAAATACTTTTAACTATTTTCTATTAAGTAGTATTACTTTAAGCTAATAATAGAGATACTTAAGTAATTTAAGAATATAACTAGCTTTCTAAGTAAGAACTAGAAGTTATAGATTTAGTATATATAGCTTATATATAATTAACTATTTAACTTTTTAAACTAGATAATAAAAGACCTTAATAAGAATATTATAAATTAAAAGAATACTAATTAGCTAGCTATAGTATAAGCTATAGCTAAAAGAGGTTAGGTAAAATTAAGTAAGTACTACTTAAAAACTAATACAAAGTATAAGTTCTTATTTAACTATACAGTGGGGTAATATAAATAAAGATTAGAAATAAAAGTCTACTTTTTAAAGAGCTTATAACTAGATAAGTAAAATAGCTACAAAAATAAAAAGTAGATAATCTTATAGAGATTTATCCTATTAATATCTTTTATTACTATATTTAAATTGTTTACTATAGCGTCTAGTCTATAAATTAGTCTAAAAATAAAGAAAAAAAAACTAAAAACTTTAGTTAGCTAGAACTATTTTTTAGACGTATAAAGTTAAGTTTCTTTTTTATATTCTAAATAAAGGCTTAATAAGCATTACGTTACTAAATTTATATAATATATTTATTAACTAAAAGATTTTTAAATCTAACTTTAAATCTAGTAGTAGTAAATTAGTAAGCTAAAATTACGTAATTATACGCTAAAATAGTAGTATATAAGCTATATCTTCTAGAAAAAAAATCCTAGACTTCTATTTCCTTAGTAATATTTTTAAAATAGAGCCAAAATTCTTAAAATTTAAATCCTAAGTTAAGCTTCTTTTAAAAGCTAAAACTTCTACTTCTACTATAGCTATAACGCTAGAAAAGCCTATTAGTAGTATTTTAAATACTATTATTAGAATAAATAAAAAAAATTCTAATAATACTACTTTAAACTGTGTTAAACAAGGAAGAATTTTAAAGATCTCTAATAGAGAAGAAAGAGTTATTACTAGAGCTATAATAAATAACCCTAAGGTTAAAAATAAGAGTATATTAGTTAAAAATAACCTTTCTATATACAAAAGAACCTTACAAAGATTTTTTAAAAGAGAAGGATATTCTATTAATATTACTTCTAAAAAAGCTTTATTAGATAAGAAAAAAGCTAAAAGAAGGCTTTTACTAGCTAAAGAGCAGGATAAAAATATTATAAATATAAATCTTAATAAGATTGTATTTTCTAATAAGTTAGCAATCCAGCGTAGATATAGTGCTAGGAAGGAATACTACAGAAAGAAGGGAAATAACAGAGTTAGCAACTAAATAGTTAATATAACTAATATAAGTAAGTTTAAAATTTTTCTTAGTAGGCTATGTTTTAGAGCTTTTTTTTCTCTTTATTTCTATTTAACTTTTGTATTTATAGCTCTAAAACTAACTTTTTTATAGCCTAAGACATTTCTATTTAAGTTTAGGGTACAATTTAGATAGGTAGACGCTCTAAATTAGAGGTTATTAAAATACCTTTTATAACTAAGTCTTATATAAATAAAGACTACCTAAGAAAGGTTTTAATACGCTACGTTAAACTAGCTATTAAAAAAGGTAAGTTTATTATTCTTTATTTCTATCCTTTTTATTATTTTCTACCTTTATTTCTACTCTTTTATTTTTTTCTAAATTCTTAAAAAATTCTTTATACTTATATCTATTTAGGCTAGAAGTTTTAGTAAGATAACGCTAAAACTTATAAAACGCTAAATATAATAGCTTAGTTTAAGAGAAATAAAATTTCTCTTTATTAGCATCTGCCTTATAGCCTAGATCTAGCACCTATTAAAAATGTCTAGAGTCTATTAAAAGATAGACTAGATAATAGAATAAGTACTAGTTTAGGGGTAGGAGCTAGTAAGGCTAGTGTAGAGGCCTTTAAGAGGGCTATACACAAGGAGTAGGATTTAATCCTGCAACAGAGTATAAATAACTGTATCTTATCTATGCCTAGGCGTTATAAGGCAGTTATAGACGCTAAAGGGTAGTATACTAAGTACTAGTTAGCTATTACTTATTATATTATTCTATTTTAACTACTTTTTATATTTTGTAAAATTTAAATTTTTTAGGTAAGGTAACTAATACTAAAAATCTTAGTATATCTTAAAAAGATATATAAGTAAAAGATAATTAAGTTTTAAGTATTTTTCTACCTAGATAAAATAGTTATCTAGGCTTCTATTTATCTCTTTTTAAAGAGCTTTTTTTAGTAACCTACTGTTTTTAATGCAGCTTAGTAAGTAATATATATTAAGCTACAGCGTTAATAAACAGCTTCTCTGCTTTTTAAAACTTTACTTTTTATAAAATTAGGCCTTCTAGAACAAAAGCTATTAAACTTTAAAACTATAGCCTTTTTTTTCTAATCTTTATTTGTGTTACTCTACTGTATAATAATCCTTAACCTAACTTAGAAACTTATAATATATAAGGTCTATTTATTATAGTTACTTATTACAGCTATATACTAACTAGGTATATAGGATAAATTATAGGATTCTTAGAATAAATATATATATTATATATAATTTCTTAATTACCTTAGTTACTATAACTAAGAGGAGTAAAGTAAATTTATACTAGGCTTAACCCTTTATTTATAAAAATAATAAGGTAGTAAATACTTTTAAAAGCCTTCTACCTTTTTATTATAACTAAGTAGTTTTTTTACTTTAAGTTAGAGTTTCTAAACTTAAGAAGCTAATAATCCTAATAGCTAAACTATTTAAGAAGAGAAAGCTTACCTTAGTACTATATATATAATAAGTAATAGCTCCTTTAATATTTTAGAGTAGTAAAAGGCTAATAAAGGTATATATCCTTAACTAGCCTAGGTTATAAAGAATATATTAGTAATACTAATTACCTAAGTTAGTATTAAGTACATTTTTAATATTACTAAAAATATAATTAGTAATTAAAAGTATTACTTATCTAGTTAAATAATTTAGTAAATTATAATTTTTAAGAATTTAATTTCTTAAGAGGTAGACTAGCTAATAAACCTTTTAGATAGGAATATAGGCGTATATAAGGTTCTTTATAAGAAAGCTAATAATCTATTAGATCTTCTAGCTCTAGTAAAGTAGATAGGTAACTTATATAAAGTTATTATTAAAGAAAAGAATATTAAATAAGAAAAGGATATAGAAGGCTTATTAATACGTCTAGTATATAAGTATATCTACTCTACCTATTACTATAATTAATAGCTATAATTAAATAGTTTAAATAATATTTTTATATTTTCTATATAATACTAACCTATATTATTATTATAATATATATATATCTTTTTATAATATATATATATATTTTTATAGGTAACCTATATAGGTACCTTCTACCTAACCTTAACCTAAGCTTTAACTACTTCTACCTAACTCTAACCCTAAGCTTTAACTACTCTAACCTAACCCTAACCTAAAGCTTTAGCTACCTCTACCTAACTATAACTCTAAGCTTAGACTACTTTAACCTAACCCTAACCTAGAGTCTATACAACCCTAACCTAACCCTAACCCGTCGTTAGGTACCCTAAACCCATTTACCAGCGTACTCCTGTATTACCTAAAAAGGGAAACAGCACAGCTATTACAATAATATAGACGGTTTTTAGTAATTATTTGATTACATTAACACCGAAGTTTATATACTAGAATGCTAAGGTTCTTCCTTCAGAAGAACAAGGATTACATTGTTTTATAACACAGTGCTGGAAGCATTCAAGATATTCCTCTATGCTAACTTTATGTAACAAGCTCGCTCTTACGTTTAGTCTAAAAAATGCACCTTTAACTAAAGCTGAAACCTAAAAGCTACAGGCGGCTTAAGAGGTAGACTTAATCCATTAACAGCTATTAAGGTTAACGATGAAGACGGAGATATCTGCGTTGGAGGAGGATATTCACATGTGTTATAGCGATCAAATTCGAAAACACTATACGGCTTTTCATCCACCGAACATAAGAGTGGGCAATAACAAGGAGGCGTTCTATACGTATCATCAGTAACGTATATCAGATATAGGAGTCTTAATATACCTGTAGACTAGCATGTCAAGGATCTTAGTCAGTTCATGTACGTAGTCGTACCCATACGTGCGATAGTCCAACCTCCGCTCACAGTACTCGTACTCAAGGATGTAGTACCACTTTTTCTTCGTAGACGTCTTAACACTGCCAGCCATATAGACGTTTGGGATTGTTTTAATAAATAGAAAGGCGAACCTCATAATCCAGTCAACCACTGTCTTCTAACAAGGATGTTCTGCCATGCTCTGGAAAACCGCACTCTCCGTGAACCATTGCCTCCAATGATTGGCCCTGTAGTATTCACTCCAAGGGTTGCCATCACTACTGCCCGATTCATAGGGGCTTCGGAAAAACAACTCTAGATGTTTCAGTGTATCGACACCTTGGAGTAAGTGACCCATACTTCTTGCAGCGGTGATATGGACGACGGGATCAATTTCGACGCCGAAGAAGTGGAAGAGTCCGCCAATGCTGAAGTTGAGATGTACTCGATTCAACCAGTTGTAACTACAAGGCGTAGCAGTCGTACTTAGCACCCTCTCAAGCATGTGAACTGCAGTGAATTGTTTTCGAGTACCCTCCCAACCAGCACAAACGGCTTCACGACGGACTTGCTTGTTGACACCTAAGATGGCGTAGTTCGGCGCGTCCGGACGTGCACCTGCGTCTTCTGCTTCAGGTATGTTCACTTCTTTCAAGCCAAGAAGAACCTGGTAAGCTCTACGTGTGCTATCGTACGGAGCGACAGGGTAAATATTCTCTCCAAGGATGTGCCGGAAGATGGTAGAGCATATCTCCATAGGCAAATCCATAAGACGGAAATGCCGACCATTCCTATCCCACCAGAGCTGTTGACAATGAAGGATTCAAGGAATGCCTTCGCGAGCAACACCGTTCGTGAGTGCGTATATATCAGGAAGCCCTCTCAGCCAATCCTTCAGCGGTATCCAGGGCTGCTTCCGAGCTTCCCTACCCGAGGTCTTTGGTCGAACAATGATGTTGTCCCCAGTCAAGTCGACGGTGCCACGCACAATGGATACTTCAGTGGCAACTGGGAACTCGTCGAAATGTTGTGAGAATGCATAGAGCTTGGTGGCCCGGCCTGTACGAACCGGCCAAAGGGGAGGGGTCACGTCCATGTTGTGAACTCGGATCCCGGCGACTGCGACGTACATGTGATCTTTGCTCAGTTCACGGATGGTATTGATGATTGTTCGGACGACTTCATCGCTCATCTGGCTCGGAGAACCGTTCATTTCGTATCGGTATTCGCCGTGGAGGGTGTCGAATTTGTCTTCTGGGGGAGGAAACATCCTGACGGTAAAGAGGAGACTATAGTCACCTGTAAGGCGAAGATGCTTGAAGCGGGTACTCGATTGATGCACCTCGAAGCAGGGAAGGTTGGGCAGAGTTGATGGATATGTTGTTGATTTGAGACGCTGGAGGCCGGAAGTGTAAGTCTCGAATCAGGGATGAGATAGGGTTGAGAGGGTAGCAAAGAGGAGGCGACGATGGGTATTATATACAATTAGGAGGGTAAGGAGTAGGATGAGTGAACGAAGGTTGCCACATGATTATGGGTAAGGGACTTCAAACAATTTACCAAGGCCCAGGCTGAGCAGTAGATATCAAAGCCGACACTGAACGCTTATGGGACGGGTATGACAGTACATATGAAGATTTCTTTGCTTGCCAACATTGGTGTTTGCCAACATCAAAGAAGCAGAACGCAATCATTTTGGGACAATCATTGCGACCGTTTGGCAACAGATGAACAACTGATACGGTTTTATTAGTGAAAGTCTCCGGGAAAATAAGCTAAACGTTGTAAAAATTTTAACTTCTAGTCTCTGAAATGTGTCAGTATCTATGAAACATAATATTCTAAAAGAATGTGCGGACTTGGCTGACAGGAGGTGTAGCTTTGGTGAGGATATTTGACTTCACCCACAACAGGCCCGATTCCTTATCATAAGTCACTTCCTAAGTTGTAGTGTGATGTTTTTGTGTGACCGCTGTTTTATTGTTTTCCCAACTAGATTGTACTTGCTCGATATGTTCGTTGACTAAGTTTTCTCCCGCGGATATTGTGGGATAACCGTGGCGACGGAATCTGTAAAGGGTAGGAGGTGTCATCCGTCAATTTTGTAGTATGGCAGGATTCGTTACGTGATTTGGTTGAATATCAGCAACAATCTCGGAATAACATGAGCAGCACCACTTTCGTCTACTATCTCTACATATAATTAGTCGGGCATCATGTATCAGTCCGCTAAACCCACTCAATCCACAATCCACCAACACCACCCTCCACATCAAGTCGTTCTCTCCGTCCCTTCTCCTTACAAGTCCCCGCCCCTCCAGCCTTCGCAACAAGCACAACATCTCCATACCAAAACCCCGACTTCTCCACCTTACCCCTTTCCTCTTCACTTCTCGGCAGCCTCAACACAATCCTTGCACCACCCTCAACACCCTCAACACTCTCCACCCGCGACACAGAAAACCACACCTCATCCCCCCTAACAACACCCCCATCCCCAAAAACAGCCCCATACACCCTCCTTGTATCATCAAGCATCTCCTGATCCCTCAGCAAAACAGTAAGCCCCCGCACACCAACCGCCCCACACGCATGCCCCGTCTTCACCCCATCAAGCGGAACCCTAACCTCCCTAGGCGTAACATCATGGCAGAAAAACGGCACGCGCCCCCGACTCGCCTGCCCGCCATTTGCCCCCGTGGGAAACGTAACAGCCCACTGAACGTCCACGCCATCATCTCGCTTCCTCGCCCCGCGAATCGGCGCTCCATAACTCCCCGCAAGCGCCTCCCAATCCCCCCCCGCCGTCCCCCCGTTCGTGAGACACCAGTCCTTCCACCCCGTGAACGCGGCGTCGGGGCCCCACCAATGGCTGCTCACGAGATCATGGTCCTGGGCTATGAAGCTGATGAGCTCGATGTAGCAGCCGTCGCTGAGCAGGATGAGGACGTTGGAGGTTAGGCCGTCGGCGTGGAAGCCGCCGGGTGTTAGGGTGAAGTTTTGCGCGAAGACGGGGGGGATGCGTGGGAGGTTTGTTGTGGGGTCGGCGGGGACGAAGAGGATTAGGTGGTCGAGGGATTGGGTGGGTGGGGGCATTGTGGTGGGCGCGCTGGGTTGGGGGTAGGGTTTTTGGTGTTCAGTTTGTGGGATTTGGGGGGCTTTGTTGAGGTGAGGTGGATCTTGGAGGGGCGAGGTGTTGATCTAATGGGAAGATGGTTGTTAAATTCGAAGATGAGGACTGAGATTTCATATCAAGTGCAACTATATATTGGGTGAGTCATGGCGTGCTCGTGATGTTGGATGAGGCAAGTAGCTCCATGGTGTTGAAAGGTGGGTCCGGTTGAGGGGTAGCTTTCTTTTCCGCGACTTCATCTCTTCTACATTCTCAAGATGGTCCAGCATCGAGAAAACAGCTCAGGTAGTCCTGATTTAGATAAACTTGCCACACTATGTCGAAGGTTCATATAATGAATATCGCGACATCTAGATAAGCATAAATCTTTGAACAACGATACCGGTCAGCCTAAGCTTACACTCATCGACTTTCAAGGATATCCCATTACCAGATCAGAAGTGTTCCACTATTTATCATCTTCACGAACACACACACAAGAACACATATCAACATACAAGTAAAAACGTATTCCCAACTATCTACCCCACACCACTCAGGCAACATAATCAATCCACTCCACTCACTGCACCCACCCTATCTCATCGGACTCCAAAACCCCACTCTTCCAAACGTACTCCCCTTCTTCGGCGTCGTCAACGGATCCGGCGCATCCCTATCCGCAGCCCCCATACTCGCGCGGCCACCAAAGTCCTTCCCCTCACTACCCGGGGCCTTGAATCTGACCTGACTACCCGTAGCGTATATGTCATTGAGCATGGGTTCCAGAACGCCCGCATCCACAAATTCCTCGTATTTCCTCCACAGCTTTAGCGCCGTGGTTGCGTCTTCGATGGAGTCGTGCGTTTCTTGTTGGATCTTTTCTTTCAGCACGCACCACGCGAGGAATTTGAGGTTGAGCTTGCGCTTGAAATCGGGCTTGAAGAAGAGGTTTGAGGTGTCGACGACTTGGTTCCTGGGGACGTGGATGTTGATTGTGCGGAAGTCATTGGCGAGGGAGTGGCCGACGAAGACGCATCCGAGATTGAGGAGAAGCCAGAGTTTCTTGTAAGCGTGTTTGAGGCTGATGAGAGCGTGTGGTGAGGTATCGCGATTCAGGTCACCAGGTGAGATACCAGACCACTCTGTGAGATGATCGACGACGGTTTCGGTGACGGCGATATAGTCGTCGATGAAGGGAACACCAGCATGTTCGCCTTCGCCACGACAGACGGACACACGAGCGAGACCTTTGCGGTCGGGACGAATCGTCTGTCGCGTGCCGTCCGCTTTCATCTCGATTTCTTCGGCCTGTAGTCTGATAAACTCGGCATCGATAGCGACAGGATACCCTGGACGTGGTGCTTCTGCCGCCGAGTTCAAGAGTTTGAACTTCGAATCTGTAGCGGTGGGGTTCGAAGACCACCATCTGTACAAGATTGAAGTGTCGAGACTCTTCTTCCAGGAGTCGTCGATCTTGTTTCTGGCAGCCTTCTGCTGGAACGTGAGAACAGAGGGCAGTTTCCAACTCGGTTCAAAACGTAGCGCCTCTTCCTTCGGTATTGGCCGGACCAGGAAGTCGTTGAAGAGATGCCATTTGTCCTCCGCATCTGCGTCGCGAGACGAGGGCCCAGTGTTGATGGTAGCGACAAGATGAGGTTTCTGGTGTTCTCCGCTGTTGATGTCGGCAACTACACCAACTAGTTCGTATACCATGATATCGAAGACGCCACGCTGCAAGTGCAGCTTCAAATCCTGGCCTTCGAAGCAGTAAAATTGACCTTGATCTACTATGATCCCAATCTCTTGCGGCAGCCAGTTTGGTATAGACCACAAAAGCTTGGCCTCGTGACTCTGTATGGCCGCGTTGAGCATCAAGACGCCAGGAACAGACTGGATCGTCTTTCTCTGTACCATTTGCTGGTATCGATTGCACTTCGTGCACCAACCCCGCGTCTGGTCTTGCCTTTCCACGCTGGCTTTGAGAATCTGTGAGAAAGTAGGCCGGGGTATCCTTGTGTTCTTCATGACATGTTTGGCTGGATAGACCAGCTCGTTCACAAAGTTCTTGCCGCCTCGAATCGTTTCGTTGGCGCATTGTGCGCACCTCATGCTTGCCTTTGCTTGTGTTTCGAGAACCTGATCCATCAACGACGGTCCAGTTTGGCCTGGTAACACCTGCCGAAACTCTTCCGAGATCTTGTCCAGCAGAAATCGATTCAAGTTCTGGATCAAGCTGGTGAGAGCGACGTTCGGCGCAAATTCTTCTAGCAAATTCAACGACACCGCATTAGACAGCCCACTGAAGGTCTTTAGGAAGTTGGAAGCCTGGCAGTTGAGTCCGGCCGCTTTTTCGAGCATGTCTATCAGAAAGCCTAGTTCACAGAGCAAACATGATTCGAACAGGCAAGGGGACGCAGTATGCTGCAGCGCCAGATTGCGGACCAAGGGGGTGAAACGAAAGAGTTGGAGTAGTGGGTTTGCATATGAGTTCGTGATATGGGTCTCCAAGCCCGAAAACGATGTCTGGTTATAGTACCTGCACTAACGTCAGTGAGGGAATCTTTGAAGGGAATCGATAGGCCATACGCAAAGTCGAAGTCGTCGACGCCAAACTTGCTGTACTTGATCTCTACGTTCCCATACATTGCGGGAACGTCTTTCCGAGTCACGTCGTCGAGGTGTAAATCAGTAAGCGTCTCCATGGTCTCTGCAGTAATCTCATCTGGCTCATGAAAAGACAATGCTGCACGAGTCTTCTCACTCAGAAATTTGGGTGCGGTCAGTGATTCGCTCACTCTGTCAACCTGACGGGTATGTTCGACTTGATTTCTCCGTTTTGTTCTCGGGTTCTTGGCGAAGAAACCCAACTCGGTCCGCGTCATGTTGCCCAATATCACGTTGTCAATTTTCGGTGGAGGCGCGCCCACTTGGAAGACCATGTGGCTTGGCCAGCTCGACAGAAGGTGTTCCTTGTAGTAGGGCATACCGACAGTGTTCAGAGGCCTGCTAACAATGAGAAATGTATAATTTTGAACGATGTTTCAACTTACGTTTCTAGGTTCCAGTCCATCGAGGGAGGGGAGACGGCATGATCCGCGAATTCCGTAGGATTGCTGTACTCGGGGAAGTGAACTTTGGCTGGAGAACCCCACAGGTGTATGTGAGAGTTTGAATCTGCCAAGGCAAAGGCTTCACCGGATGGTGCCATTTCGAAACCAGCCAGATACGAATCGTAAAGATTGATTTGTCGCAAGTTGGCGGAGTCTGGATTCATGAGGTCAATGACCTGCAACTGGCCGTTTTGCGAAGCAATGATGGCGGTGGTCGACATGCGCGGATGCATGCGCACAAAAGCTGCGCCAGTATGGAACGGAATAGGAGGCAATTGCTTTAGTGTTTTTAAAGAGAACACATTTGTGAATGGGTCGAGCATGTAAGCGTACTGCTGTCGCGGAGACCAGCCGCATGTCGCGAGGAAATCGCCTTTGGCGTCCATATCGCTAATACTGCCGGTATGGCCTTCGAACACCTTCACGACGGAGAGAGAGTTTGAATCCAGGATATGGATGCCACCCGTCTTAGTAGCGGCGCAGAGGTACTGTCCGGCTCTCTTCATGATGGTGTACTGGGCTTCGGCAGGAAGCTATACCGCGTCAGCAAGGTGTTCATTGCCTGGTATCGCCTACTCACAGTATCTATGATTGTACCCTTGTCCACATCGACCTTAAACATCTGGTCTTGACATCCTGCGACCAAGATCTCACGTGTCCCTTTCGAGGTAAAGTTCATACACTTGAGGTCCTTCAAGTCGTCGCTTCTATAACGACCATCAGCATATAGTCCTATAGCAATGACCATTGCATGGTACAGTTCCATTCGACGTACACCAGATGCCATTGTGTCAGACCGCGACGGTGCGAGTAGTGAACGCTGTTCTTCGAAACCGAGAGCACGCCCTTGTCGGTGAAGAGGAATTGCTTAACGAGGCCGGTGTGCCCGCGAAAGGACGTGTAGCGCTCGAGGCTTGGGCCATAGAAAGACGTGACTCGTCCCTGATGCGTGCGTCAGACGGAGGCCATGGAGGACTAGCAGCGCCAGAACCTACTCACATGGTTGTTGCCTGTCCATAGCAGCTCCTGGGTCGTGTCGAATGCAAACGTCGAGACTGGTGTAGTCGGAAGATGCGGTGCGGTAGGTGGCAGCTGAGCGATGGCTAGCTATGCGCAAGTCAGTCTTTGGTGTTGCGACGCGCCGGACGGGCGTGACTTACTTCATCCCAATCCGCCTCCATGTTGAAGGCACGTTCACCAGATTACTTGTCCTGGAACACGACTCCGACATGCCTCTGCGCCCTGCGTTACCTTCCAAAAAGAGAGTTACGAGACATACGTTGCGTGTTGAGGCGGAGCTTCGCGCGTAGATGCTTGCTTGGAGGTGGGGGCACGTCACGAAGCGCCGCGACTGTTGAAACGGATATATCCCAATCAAGACATCGCAGGAATGGCCCATCACTTTTGCATGTTCAACAGCGACAACGCGCATAGAAACGCGTTAGGGTTGCGCGAAGGCGCGCAATTCATGTTTCACAACATCGATATCAGAGTTGATTGTTTCATTATGAGTCCTGACTAGTCTTGCATAGCTGATGGGAATCAAGGCATCTACATTACGGAAAAAAAAACGCGAGGAAGATTCATGTTAAGAACAAGAGTTGGCTAATGGCATGCGTGTAAATCAGTAGTATCTTACCTTGAATCCAGACCCGATTGATGTTCTGTTGTGAAGTGAACCTTCTTCGAATACAAATTAGGGTATCGAACGCCTATGCAGCAAATCGTTTAGTGTTCGAAGGTCAGGACGATGGAGTAAGCCCATTGCCATACCGAAAAGATGCATATGTCGTGACGCAGCCTCAATTCCCTAAGAAGCGGTACCGCCAATCTGCAGTGGCTCACGGTTCGTGTATGTGTGAGAGTAGCGGACCTGCACTAGGTCAGCAACGTTGAGACTGGGCAAGGCTTCAAGAGCCTGGTTTCTTCAATCCACGCGTAGATTGCCCTTCAGAAGCAGAACACCGGAAAGCTGCTGGGTCTGAGAAACCGGCCAAACAATAGTGTAAGCAAGGAACTATGAGTGGCAATAGTTGTGGAATGGTTCGTGTACGTACGCATGAAGCTCGTATTCGAGCAATTGCCCGTTCATCCCAAGCGCTTGCGACTCTGAGGAGCTGCATCGTTCTTGCGACCCTTCGGAGTGGAGTCGTTGTACTCCTCGTCGTTTTCAGCATCAGCCTTGTGATCGTATCGCTGGCGTTTGTGGGTCTCGGTCATGCCCTTGCCAGAGCCCGTAAAGCCGACTGCATTCCGTTAGTAATAATCGCATGCATAGTCGCAGCTCATCGCCCACCTTTGCTGCCAACCTTTGTGCTCGTGCGGAACATGGACTCATGTTTGGCGATCTTCTTGCCGACACCCTTGGCCGTAAAGTCCTTCCAGCTGCCCACGGTCTTCTTCAGTTGGCCCTGAGACGGTATCTTGGTGCGTCGCTTGGGCGCGAGGTCGTCATCGGCTGCGTCGTTCCGGGCCTGCTGAGTGTTGGGATTGACACTGGCAGGGCCAGAGATGACATGCGGAGTGGACGTGACTGGTGTCGCTGGTTGCGTGGCGACTGCAGGCTCAGGCTCGCGCTTACGCTTGCTGGGCAAGGGACGCACGGCGCGACTGTCGACGGTCAAGGTGTCGTCGTACTCGATGAAGCGCACGAGGTACTTGGGCGCCGAGGCAGACCCGAGGATGCTCTGAATCTTCGCCTTGTACCAGCCCTTGTCGGTCCACTGCGCTTCACACATGTCACCCGTGGTGAAAACGACAGCCTTCTCGGGCTCCTGCTTCTCTATGGCCTTTCTAAGGAGCGGATGTTTCTCGGGGTCGAACTTGGGGGCGGCGGGCTGAGGTACTGAGGGCAGCTCGGCTTGAAGAGCAGCTATCTGTTGCTGGAGTTTCGCGATGTTGGCATCGAGTGCTGGTATCGTCGTCTCCGCCTCAGCCTTCATGCCCTCAAACTCGGCCAGCTGTTCGCTGTTCTCCGCCGTCGCCATCGAATCGACGAGTCCAGCAAGCTGCAGTATGTTAGGATAGGACGTCTTGCTAACCCTCCCGTCGACTTACGATGGCGGCCCAGTCGTTGCGATCGCTCTCATCCTTGGCAAGTTGGCCCTTGACACGCCATATCTCGTCTTTTGTGCGCTGGATGTGATCGGCCATCTTGCGGTGGTAGTCGGCTTGGACGTGGTGGCGGGGTGAGCGTTGTTGGTGAGTGTAGGCGGGAGTCTTGGATTTGTCGCAGTTAGGAAGTCGCGATTGACAGTTCACGTCGCAAGCACACGGGCCACCCAAGTCGGGGCCCCACTTCAGCCTTACGACAGCATAAAAGGTACGTCGAATGATCAAGAGTATCGCTGAATAGTCTGCGAACCCCAATTGCGAGAACTAGTGCATTTGACTTGCGCACACGCGACTCCAAGACTCTGTATTTGGTGTCAAGTACAACATGCCCAAACCCTCACATGTTCGGCTTGCACCAGACTCTACACGAGCAGCCATTTGCATTCTTCAAGCAGTCAAGGGTGTTTCATAAAAAGTCCAGAGCATGCATGGGATTAGCCAGCCAGGTACAGGCATCGGCCATATCCCAGTCGACTTCTACGACGTTCCTTTACCCCAACGGCGGTCTAGTCTCGCTGACAAATTAACGGAATGCTCATCCTCACATCATCTGCGCTCTGCACCCTCGCCCTTTTCGTCGACCAAACACACCCCAGACGCAGCTTACTACCGCAGTGGATGACGTGCATTCTTGTGCAGCGCTGCAATCATAGCTCACCGCTGTCGCAAGCTTGTCATTCGATCCGTTACTCCGACAAGTCGTCCGGATCCAGGGCTCACTAGACCACGGGCCAGACAAATCAGGCTGCCATACTGGCGAGTTTGCGCACCTCTCCTCTTTGCATCCCCACTACTCCGTACTCGCGCTGCGTCCTTTGAACGTCACACATAGATTCGGCCAAGAAGTCATCGACGCTGAACAACCCACCTCCCCCGCCGCCACAGCTGGCCCCTCCTCCGCGTCCCGCTATTGCACGAGCTGCCGGTCCCTGTCGCTCGCTCTTGCGCTGCGTCATCACTGCCATTTATCGTGTCGCAACGGCCAAAGCGCCCACTTCTCCACAGAATCCCTCGTGGCCGGTGGCGATAATATAGTCCAGCAGTGTCAGACAGATTTCGAGATACGTTCCCGCCCCCACCGCGGCTGTTGCGCTTCGAAACAAAGTCCTTCGAGATCGCAGTAGACGAGCGCCTGCACCAAGGTAGCTTTGCTCCGATTGTGTGGCACCACACCCACACCGTACTCTCTGCTGTCAACCACCGCATCACCTCTCGCAATGGCTGGAACAAGCAACGACTTTCAAGACGGCGCGCCGTTCTACCTCGACCCCACCCAACAAGACCTCCTGCTTGCCGCTCTTGCCTCGAACAACCAGAACCCACTCGACATGTTCTCGACTGGAATGGATAACAACACGAAGCGCTCCATGAGCAACGCGCAGTACCAATACCCCATCGACGCTCTGGACCCTACCTTCTTCACGACACCACAACAGACTACTCCTGCCAATGCCCTCAATGCTGGCATCGAGGAGAGTCCGTTCATCGACTACCTCGACGGCGATACCACTTTTGACTTTGACAATGCGGATAACAGCGAACTTATGATTGGCGATCTGCCAGGAGAGACCCCAGGGAACTATGACGATTCCAACGAGAAGAGGAAGAGCCCGGACGACGACGACGACGATGACGACGAAGGTGGTGGTAAGCGGAGAGAAGGTGACGATAAGCAAGCCAAGAAACCAGGACGCAAGCCATTGACATCAGAGCCCACAACGGTAGGTTCGCCTGCAGGGCGTACACGATGACGGGACTGACACATATGCTAGAAGCGCAAAGCTCAGAACCGGGCAGCTCAGCGAGCTTTCAGGGAACGAAAAGAGAAGCACCTAAAAGATTTGGAGACGAAGGTCCAGGAACTTGAACAAGCCTCGGATGCTTCAAACCACGAGAATGGCCTTCTTCGCGCTCAAGTGCAGCGCCTGCAGACGGAACTTCGCGAGTACCGGAAACGCCTGTCACTCAACAGCACCGGAGTGGTTCGCCCGCAAGCACCCGCATCTGGCTTCAGCACCATGTTAAACAATGGCAATGGCAACTTCCAGTTCGACTTTCCCCATTTCGGTGCGCCAAATAGCCAACTCCCTAACAATGCTACTCTTGCGAGGATAAATCCTTCGGCTGTTTCCGCCGGGGCGACGGCTCGACACAACAGTCTTGAGCAGAGTGTCAGTCCCACACGACAGAGCAACGGCTTCAGCACACAGGCTTTCCTGCCTACAAAGGCTGCTCCTGCGTCAGCGGGCGCTCAACGATCTGGTAGTCTGAACAGCTCGTCGAGTTCCAATCACACAACACCTAAGCGCAGCAGTACTGACAGTTCTAATACAACACAATCGCGTGTATTCCAGTTCAACAGCAGCTCGTCCACGCATTCAGGCTCGCCCTCTGTTTCGTCCACCTCTCCTGCCGGGCCAGACTCGTCATGCGGTACGTCGCCAGAGCCCAGTCACACATCGCCTGGCCAGCTGAAGGACACAATTGCAGATGGATACGTGTGTCATGGCAATTCCGAAGGTGAGGTCCTTTTCTGCGAAAAACTCAACATGGCCTGCGGAAACCCTCGTAACCCCGTGCCCCGTGCAATGTCCAGATCTGACGACAAACCCTCTCCTGCAGCAGTCCCAAAGGCCTTATCACCTGCGCCCACCGCCGCCGCCGCCGTCAACGGTATCGATTACTTTGCGAATCAGAACGGCGGCCATTTCGATCCCACGCTCTTCGGCGAATATCGCGATACGCAGAACGCTATTGTGGGCGACGGTGACTTTACCGGCGGCTTCTTCAACGACGCATTCCTCAACACGGGCTACGGGAGTCCGTTCCACTTTGGCGATACGCCCGCAGTGCAGAAGCCGAACCCAATGGAGCTGATTGAGCGCATCCAAGACGGCGACGAGGAAGTCGTGCCCGGCGAAGACATCAACTCGATGCTCAACTGCCACAAGATTTGGTGAGTATATCCCTTGCTGTCATTCATATCTATCGCGTACTAACAATTCTCAGGGACAAGCTGTCGAGTCGCCCAGACTTCAAGGACGGCACAATCGACATCGACAACTTGTGCTCCGAACTCCGCGCCAAGGCTCGCTGCTCCGAGAGCGGCGTCGTCGTCGACCACAAGGACGTCGAGGCTGCGCTTAAACGGCTGCCTGCTGATAGACTCCCTCCTTCACTGCAATGAGAAACGGGTTGTCGCGCAGGGGATGCCTCACTACTTCGATTCTGGGTACGATGCTACTTTCAGCGAAGTCAGTTTACGCATGAGGGCAGCTGTCTATTTTGTCACGATATGATGAGTTCTTTTGATGGTTGATATGGGATGGGGGGACGGCGTTGGGTGTGTGTGTGTGTGTGTGTCGGACTTGATCTGTTTCTTGATGATTGTAGACATAGGGTCAATACAACTCAGCTTCCACCCGCCTGTGCTGCACACATCTGACTTATTAGAGTAGCTTGATTCGGATAATTTGATACTCGATATTCACGCCCCCTCCGCAGCATCAGGCAGCGCATCAACATCCATCTCACCAATAACGCTCTTCAAAATCTGCGGCAGAATCTGCGCCGCATCGCCCTGGAAGAACCAATCCCCCTCGTACAGCCCGCCAGCAGGCACATCATTCGCATCCATATTTATTATCGCGACTTTCGCGCCCTTGCTCCGCGCCTCGTCCACATACCCCGCCGCGGGATACACTTTCGCGCTCGTCCCAATCACCATGATGAGGTCGATCTTGCCCGGCGCCGCCATATACGCGTCAATCTCATCCAGCACGTCGACGGGCAGGCGCTCGCCGAACCACACCACGCCCGGGCGCTGGAGGCCGCGCTTGCACGCCGGGCATTGGGGGAGGTGGTCGTGGTCGATCTCAGGCAGGGCGACGTCGGCGTCGGAAATGTCGAGTTCGCGCGCTGCTGCTGCGAGGGCGGTGGTTGTGGTGGGGTCGGAGTCGTCGGTGGGAATGGCCAGCGCGGGCACAATCGGGTCTGTGTAGTTGTTTCGCTCGATGTGGGTGCAGAAGAAATCTGAGCATTTTACGTCGAAGAGCGAGCCGTGCAGGAGCTTGAGTTGGGCTGCGGGGTGCTGGGCGCGGGGGGAGAGGCCTGTGTTTGTTAGTACATTGCATGTGGTGAGTGGGTGGGGGGACATACCGTCGACGTTTTGGCTCAGCGTGACGAAGCCCGGTTTCCGCCTTGCCAGCTCGGCGAGCGCGTAATGGGCGGGGTTCGGTTTGGCCTTGAGCGCCATGTGTCGTCTGTAGCTGTAGAACTGCCACACCAGTCCCGGGTTCATGCCGAACGCCTCGGGCGTCGCAAGGGACGTAGCTTCGTGTGTGCGCCATAATCCCCCCGCGCCGCGGAAGGTGGGGAGGCCAGACGAGGCGGACAGGCCAGCGCCTACGAGGGCGAGGATACGCGTCGACTGATTCAGGTGGGCTTGGAAGGTGTGGAGGTCTGTGGGCGGGACGACGCTTCGGGGGGCCGTAGACGCCATTCTGCGGAGGATGTGGGGTAGAGGCAGGATGGCGGGGGCGTCGCGGTATATGAGGCCGGGGAGCAGAGGCGGCAGTCAGGCTGTGTCATGTATGCGCTGGCTGTGTGCAAGGCAGCAATGGGGTGGGAATGGGGGAAAACATGGGGTTTGCCATTGTGCTACTGCGTTACGGCGTACATCCGGTGAAGGCACGACGTCAGGGCTCCTGCCTAATCGATAAGAGCTAGACATGCCCTTTGATTCCGCACGCGCATGATTCGCGCACCCCTCTGTCCTCGCATGTTCGTGTGTGTGTGCAGCCATGAGTCTTTCGCTCCGACTGCTGCGTCCCACGAGGGTGCGCTGGAGATGTCGTGTCCCGGTTGCACGGAGAGGGTATTCGAGTGTTCCCACCGCACATGCCGGGTTCGGGCAGCCGTTGTATGAGACGCACCCACATTTGCTCAAGGCCGGGGAAGGTGCGACCATCCAGACATGGACGAGATGGATGCTGACTGATTGATGTAGTGACGCCTGGCATTACCGCCCTTGAATACCACGAACGCCGCGCGAAGCTCGCTAAAGAACTCCCGCCCAACTCCATCGCCGTGCTTGCTGCCTCGGACTTGAAGTACGCCTCGGGGGCGGTTTTCTATAAGTTTCACCAGGATCCAGACTTCCTGTACTTGACTGGTACACACACCGCGATTAGTGTATGAGGCGAGAAAGAGGCTAAGGAGACCAGGTTTCAGAGAGCAGGACGCCGTCGCCATCATTGAAAAGCACGACGATGAGGACCACATCTTCCACCTCTATGTTCGCCCCAAGGACCCCAGGATCGAAGCATGGGAAGGGCCGCGCTCTGGTGTTGAGGCGGCAGAAGACGTCTTCAATGCTGATGTCTCGGGCGATATCAACGACCTGCCCAAACTCCTCCCCAATATCGTCGGCAGGGCTAAGCACGTGTACACGGACCTACCCAACAGTCGGATAAACAAAAACATCCTGTCTCGGTATCTCTCTGGCTCTGAGCCCGCACGAATCGGTGGCATAGCAAGTGCATTCCGCGATGCGGAGAACGTGTCCACGAGGCCGCTACGGCCACTGATGAACGAGCTGCGCGTCATCAAGAGCGCAGCAGAAATCATAAACATGCGCCACGCAGGACAACACTCCGGCCGCGCCATCACAGACGCCATGCGCCAGTCCTTCACCCTCGAAAAAGACCTTGACTCATTCCTCGACTACTGGTTCAAGCAAGACGGATGCGACGGCCCCGCCTACGTCCCCGTAGTCGCCGGCGGCATCAACGCCAACACCATCCACTACGTATCCAACGACATGCAGCTCTCACCCTCCGACCTCGTCCTCGTCGACGCCGGCGCCCAGTACGGCGGCTACGTCACAGACATCACACGCACATGGCCCGTATCCGGAAAATTCACCCCCGCACAACGCGACCTCTACCAGCTCCTCCTCAACGTCCAACGCACCTGCGTCGCACTCTGCCGCGTCTCCGCAAACATCTCCCTCGACAAACTGCACCACATCGCGTCCAACGCCCTGCGCGACGGCCTGACAGACCTCGGCTTCGATATGGCTGGAAACGCTATCCAGACCCTCTTCCCCCACCACGTTGGCCACTACCTCGGCCTCGATGTGCATGATAGTCCGGGCTTCTCGCGCAGTCGCGTGCTGCAGAAGGATATGGTTGTTACGGTCGAGCCGGGGATCTATGTCCCTGATGATGAGAAGTGGCCGCAGTGGGCGAGGGGAGTTGGTATGCGTATTGAGGATAGCGTTTGTGTGGATGACGAGGGGCCGTATGTGCTTACTACTGAGGCGGTTAAGGAGGTTGTTGATATTGAGGCGCTGAGGGGGACGCAGAGTAGACTTTCATGAGGAGGGTGGTTGGAAGGAGCTGTACTATATGAATGTATATGTTCAAACGCGTATCCACATTTCTAGAAAAAGGCGAGCTAGGAAGTGTGAACCGAGACGGTGGCTATCGTCGTCAGTGAGCATCTAGTCATCCAGCCCTCGGTAGTTAAAAAAGAGATCTTGTTCCTTTTCAGCGTCGGCCCTCCTTGCATCTTTTCAGGACAGATTCCAAAAGCTCATTCAGCAACACCCATCGAAATAAACACGGTATCACACGTGAGACTGGAACTCATCATGTTTGCATCCGAGTTCATACACACATGTACGCTGGACAAGCGGGCCACGCGAGGGTGGTATGGTGAGCTTTTGTGTGCGTCTGAGATGCTGGCAGTGTCTGATGTTGGGTTGTGTGTTGTTGGACGTAGATCGATTGAAACATGGGAAAAGAGGTTATGTGCGATTGTTTGGGGATGTGGTGTTGTGTAGGTATGAGGTCGTGTGCGGGGGTTTGAGTAGTGTGGTGGAGGGAGATGGGAATGGATTTTAGGGAGTGGGCGGTGTGACGTTTTGAACTGTGAAGTTATGTAACGTGGTATACTGACATATATAGGGCTGATATTGAGCTTTGATGTGTTGGACCTGCGAATATAGGAAGTGCGGATGCCGACGGGTGAGAGGTGGTTGGTGTCGGTTGTGCTGCTGCTAGTCGTTCGTTTTTGAAAGAGCTTCGTATACGCAAGTTGGGAACTGTTGCTAACACTTGATAGCGAGATGCGGCCGTAGTATGGCACCTGGGAGGAGGATCTATGAGGAAGAGAAGTAATTCTCGATGACGCTTTCAGGGTTCTGTAAGAGTCTGCCGGACTGATCGGCCAGTTTGCTTACACGCACTTGTCATATAGAGACTGTGCCCGCGAGTAGCACCAGAATATGCGTCCGAGTCGGCGGGCGTATGGTAGAGTACATCGATCTGATCTCATCTAATGCTCACAGGACTCATGAAGCAAGGAAGAAGTTGATGATTATGTAGCACTCTGTCTTTTCACTATCATCTTGTACTGGTAATCTTCTTAGCTTCCAATCAGTTACGTCTGGTAACAATTTATAGCCTTCTTTGACTTGAATGTCAGTTTGGCGCTCTCCCACCACCATATCTGCATTTCAGTATCGTCCCCGGAATCCTTCCGAACAGAGACTATGCTCCAGGTAAGGTCTGAGGATGGGTCTTGACAAAACTTCGAGGCAGTAGATCACAGCGTTCTGGAGCCTAACGAAAAGATATGAAGTGAAGCGTACTAAAGCACTGCTCACGCCAGACCCACAGAACAGAGTTGGTAGAAGTCTGTAAGTGGAGTTTGCGGCGCAGTAGAGTCAAATATCAGGGGATTGACTCATCATTGCTATTCCCTGCTTGTTGTGACGTCAGACCTGCTTCGTCCATTGTCGGTTTATGGAGTTGAAAAGCTTTCGGTCTCACATATCTACTACCCAAACTTTCACTTTTTTGACCGAGCAACTCGAGCTTTTTCGCTTTTTCGATTACAATACGGTTCGTTTGTCCTACACCAATTTTGCTGCTCTCGAGAATCAATACAGGGAACTCATACACCTCAAGTTGTTCGAACTCTTCGGTGCTCGTATCGTTGCTGTGCACGACATCGCGATGGCTTACTCGAACCCTACATTGTCCCTTCGTCTCTCCCAGGGATCGTACTGGGACAATGATATATTCCAGCTCCAGCGACAAACATTTTCTGGTAGGAACTTCGTATTCATTACGACTTTCGAGACAGAGCGCACTGTAACACTTGTCTGTAATGGTCTTGTCCCTGATGGGACACAAAAGAGGCTGGATATTTTGGAAGCCTTGAAATCCGGGTTGCTGGAGCTTGTAGAATCTGGGAAAGAAGAAATGATCGTTATTCACTGCACCGGACCACAAGTTTTGGACCACATTGAAGTTTCGCCTAAACCGTCACCTAGGTCGGCTCAGACGCGCCGTGGACTGATAACCAACACAACAAACGAGCTGTGGAAAACCATTCTAGAGCCTGGCAAGCAGTACGAACTCCGGTTTTCTAAGAGCAAAGGCGAAGTATGGGGTTATTATAGTGATGAGGGGTTACTTGAAGAGATCACTCCATCCCAAAAGCTTCCTATCCACCGCGAAGACAGTACGATACGCTTCACTGTCCACAACAACCCACCCCCTCCAAGGATCTTTGCGAAACTCAAATTAACGCCAGAATGCCACCTATCAGGTGACCCGCCTTTCAAGATTATCATCGAGTTCTCTACAGACAGCAAAGCGCCAATTACATTTTGCAAAGGCAGACCACTATGGAGTATGCAATGGTTAGACCTCAACTCTGTCGAACAGCTCATGTCCTGTAAAGACTCTGAAACAGGGGAAAGTGTCGAAATGCCATACACATTTGGCTGTTTTGACTCTGATCCTCATCCCTCATTCCCCGTGGATGATGATTTTGTGGAGATACTGTCAGGTCGGCCTTGGCAATTCGTGTATACGCTTCAGAACGAGAGCTCTGGAGGTCTCGGGGGCTTAGAATGTCTACGTCCTGGTAAAAGATACGAGGCTCAGGTTTCTACCGACTTGAAAGGCTTTGGGATGTGGAAATTCGGACTCAGGAAGGACCTTCTCGACGGGAGTCTGGAGGAAAAGGAGAAACGATGGGAGATGGACATGTTGACAGGATGGTTGGTTATTGAAACACCGGGTGAGCCTGTAGTGTTCAAGGCAGTCGATGGAGAATTGGTTATAGCGCGCTTGGAACAACGGTTTTACTTCACCATTCCCGGTTTCAACTGCCGAATACGCATATCGCTAGTTTCAGCTGCAGTCTCTCCTCCTCTTTCCTGTTCAGCAGTGGGATAGCAGCTGGTATCAAGCTGAGTGAATGCTCCCAGATTGAGCAATGGGTTCACTACGGTCAACCAGCCCCCTGTACCGGGCGGGGGCCCCCCAGTACCGGGCGGGCTACCCCCCGCTACTAGTAATTCACTCCCCCGTACAGGGGGATAACCCCCAGTACTGGGAGGTATACCTCCCTATACAGGGGGGTAGATAATCCTAGCACGTAACTAGATCTCTAGCTATATCTGTAAGCTAATTAATTTACTCTTACATACTTAGTCTTGTAAGGGCTGAAAATTATACCCTACTTGTTAAAATCTATCCTACTAAACCTTAATAATATGCCCTAAAAATTATAGAATACCTGCTAAACCTAATATTTTATCCTAATAATTAAATCTTAATAAAAAATCTCCTTGTGTGTGGTTATTTTATAGGTGTATAACAATAGATAGTCTACGTGCTGCCTCCTACTCCCTCCCCCCCCTCCCCCCCTCTCTACATCCTGACACTAAGGCTCTAATCTAAACGTTATTAGTAAGGATTAATCCCCCTATTTAAGAACAGAAACAGCGTCTGTACTGGGGGATAACTATCCCCCTGCAACCGGGGGCTCATTGACCGTAGTGTTGTAAGTGCACATGGGCGAGACGGAAACACCCAGGTCGCGGATTTTGGACAGCTGCCGCCAAGGTGATGATGCCTCGCACTGTAGCCATCCAACATCTCGCTCGATTGGTTCGAAACATGGTGATAGTCCCAGTTCAAGCGGCTTCTCAAAATATTGTGATGTTAAGTTTTGGGGGTTAAGTCATTTGCACCGAATTTTTAGGAACTGGTCTGGGGTGAACCAGGTATCATTACGACTCTTGCATAGATCTTGTAGTCTAGTTGAATCTTTATCAAAATACGACAAAGAGCATGACTTCTATCAGAAAGTGGAAATTGGGAATAGGAATAGCAATAGGTTAACAACGCCAGGAATTTTAGGTCTAACGTTCGATGTGTGCTTCATTCTCCTCAATCTTCTCTAGACGCAAAACAACATGACCCGCAGAAACTTCTCCCCTTTTCTTTGTCAACTGCCTTAATAGATGTAACTAGTGAAGATGCAGTCGGACGCAAACTTCTGTCCTCTGAGAGCATTGGTTGGACCCAGTCAAATGCTGCGTTGTCTGACAACTTCTCTATCCCTCCAAGCTTCGCCATAAAATCTGGCAAGACAGCCATGTTTTCGCGAACGGAAGATCCATGTGAAATGTCTTGAGAAAAGGATTCGTACATGTGCTCCACAGTCTTTCCCTTGAGAACAACAATCATCTCCAGGAAAACGACACCGAGACTCCAGACATCAGATGTGACATCTTGAAACTCCCTATCAATAACTTCCGGCGCACTGTATCTAGCAGTGAAACCTCGCACCATGGTAGTATCAACTTCATCTGTGATATCCATAGAGTTGTTAAAGTCAATGAATAGTACATTCCCGCGATTTACAAGTATATTGTGTGGTTTGATGTCGCCATGCATAATTCTCTGCTTATGCATGAATTCGAGTGCCGTAGCTAGACAGCCAAAGAAAGTCCGCAGCTCAGGGAAACTTGATACTGTAGCGATCGTCAGGTACTCACGTAGTTCCATTTCGGCAACAGGAGACAATATCAAGCCGATGGAACTATCATCTGTGTAGCTTCCAACAAGCTCTACGATATGGAGGTGCCTCAAGCGCCTTAGTATTTTGATTTCGTTAATGCATTGCTCTATAGCTTCCTTGCCTCGGCGTGTCACCCGACGATATCGCTTTCTGGCGTACTCTTGAGAGCTAGCAAAACTAAGCACTTTGTCCACGTTTGTAGATCCACCTAAAAGTTCTCGGGGTTCAAATGGAAGAGGATCTCCTTGGTGGAAGTACCAGTGCTGTCTTTTCCCATCCTTCTCCAGGTCTATTGGGTTGGACAGTATGAGATCCTGGGCTTTCATGAAGGCCGGTCGGATGCTTGGAGGCACTGTCATTGGAATCTTTTGTTCGGTAACAGGAAACAAAAAATCGGAGAAGTGGCCATGAATGAGTTCGTCGAGGAGGTCTAGTCGACCGATGATCCGAAGAACCACATATGTCCGCGGCACATCGCACAATCGCGGATCTTTGTACTGTAGCAGGTTGGATATCTCATTGATCTCAGAAGTAGTATACTGTTCTGACAAATTTTGTCCCTCCGGAAAGAACCCGTCTAATCGTCGGGCGAAAATCTGCTGCAGATCGACCTCCATGGCAATACCGGAGTTACTTGAGCGAGCGTCTTCATGCTCTTTGACAGCGGCATCTGGATTGACGTCACTATCAGCAGCTGGTCGCATGGGAATCGCAAACAATGCCAACTTTTCTAAATGAGAAGCAAGGTGCCTTTTGAATACGGTTGGATCGACGTAAAGAAGAGGTTCGGATGAAGTCGTGCTAGCGATTGATGCTCGCCCCTCAAGTCGATCGATCCATTCTGAACAGCAGGGACATTCCTGAGCACATATCTGTTGGAGTGGCTTTCGAGCAATATCGAGGATAACCTGCTCTCCGCCGACTTCGTAGATGTTGGGATGTTTTCTCTGCATATGGGCAAGATACCGCTCTCTGAGGTGAAAGGTCTCGACCTCGCAAAGTTGGCAACTGTAGCTCACACGATGAACTTGCATCTCGTGACGAAACCATACGTTGATATCGCTAAAGTACGGGGCATCGCAGTTAGGGAATGTGCAGACATAGGCCCGAAGATCAGAAAAGATGTGGCGTCGCCACACTCTCTCATTCTTGAAGATCTTCATCCGAAAGCAGAACGGGCATTCTACTTCATTCCTAGATCCCGTTCGTAGCTCAGCGAGCTGAGGGATTCTCATGGTAGTCGAGGTGTCAAGTTCGTCGTTAATGGACCGCGACACAGTTGTATATGACTTCGCGTCGTTCTCGTGATCTGAGGTTTCTTCCACAGTGAGCATCTGAGGAGTGATACAGCCTGCTTTGACACTCGAGGCCTTTGTCAAGAACGTAGATGGTCGGCTGGAAGAGTCAAGTTGCATTTGCATGGCTGGGAGCTGTATTGCGGCCACTTGCGATCTAGGCTCTACAATCTTGGGTGTATCGTCGCGAGTAAACGTACCCTCAAGCTTCTCACGGTGGTCTCGCATGTAGCTTAGGTACTGTCGACGTTGAGTAATCGCGCGTCCGAGTCGCTTCTGGAGCCAGGCTAATTCCTCTGTAGCAAGCTTCGGATACCTCTCGCCTACGTGCGCGATATCAAACTGGTCATTGAATTGATGTCGGTTCCTATTGAGAGCTCGAGCAAAGAGATCCGTGGGTGCTGCGTGGCGGATGAGGTTGGATACTCTGAAAAGACGCGTAATGCAAGCCCCAATCTCTTCAAGAAGTTGTGTGTCTTCATTTTCATCTTCATCACCATCGTCACCAGTGGACGCGAAAGCTGTCTCACCTTCACGCTCCCCAGAGATGATCTCCAAGACTTTATCATGTCAGATCATGTAGCAACGTGGATTGAGCAGAATACTCACGTTCTCTTGTAACGATATTCAGATCATCGAGCAATTCCAGAACGTAGGTCAAAACGTCGCCGGCATCGCAAAGACGCGACTCCAGAGATACAGGAGACTCTGGCCGGTGTAGGGCGCCGATATTGCCCATCCATAGGCTGAACTTCTCCAGCTCATCGTTGATTCTTTCATGAGAAATCCGACCTTTTGGCCTGCTCGGATCGGAAAGAGTTAAGACGATGGTTTTCAGAGCGTGGATACAGTCCCGGCAATACACTGATACAGATGCAACCGACATATTTGACCCAGACTTCCTGGCGTTGAGGTTCCTGGGTGGGCTGCCTGCAGAAGCTTTGCGGCTACCTCAGTATTAGCATTGGAAGGAGACGCCGATACTCCACTGGTGTTATGGATCTTATTGATAAGAGTGAGCGATTTTCAGTCCGACGACTAATGTCCAAATATTGGGAGAGATCTAGTTCTATCGACTAAACTGATTAGGGCTTGAGTACCTAGTGCAAGATCGTAGAGTGGGGGCCGAAAGTGCGGGGCGTACACGTGGGAACTAAAACGATTGCTGCTTCTATTCCAAGACCAACACCAGATCACGCTTGGCTCGACTTCCTGCTCTCAATAATCTTACATATTCTGACAATACCTCATGAGTGGCCTCGAAATCGCAGGTGTCCTCCTCGGAGCTTTTCCCCTGATCATTTCCGGTCTCGAGCACTGGCGCGACGTAGCTAAGGTCGGTGGTTTCTTCTGGCGAATACGCAATGAGTACAAAGCTTGTCGCAGAGAAGTCCAATTTCATGAGATATTGTACAAACGAAACTTAAGAGAACTTCTTCTCCCTATCACAGACGATGCAGTCCAGGTGACTTGTTTGATAAGTGACCCTGGCGGCAAAGGTTGGGGCAGCGAGGTCTTGCAGGAGCGATTGAAGGGACGGCTTCTGGAGTCGTATAACTTGTACATGGAGATAATTTGTGAGATGAACAGAACGGTCGAAGAGTTGAGGGAAGAGCTAGCACTTGACAAGACGACTGTCCAAGGCAAATTAGGTCTACCCAACGCGACGAAGCAGCGCACGCCGTCGAGCCCGCAGGCTCATGGCAAGACTTCTAAACTCGAATCAGCAAAAGTAAAGTGGGACTTTGAGAAGTTCCGGCTCAAATTTAGCTTCAATGAGCCAGTCAGACACGAAATCTTCGAACGATTGAAAGAGTGTAACGGACGCCTAGAACAACTTCTCAGCACGAGTGACAAAATCCTTGCACTCGAGAACGCCGCTCTCCCGGATACGAAACATACTTCTGCTCTAGAAACGGTGGTTCATAAGGTGCGGAAGAAGTCAGATGTCCTCTTCAATGCCATACAAGCTGCGTGGCAGTGCTCTTGTCAACAGTACCATTTCGCCAACCTCCGGCTAGAGCACCACACACTTCCGGATATATCGTTCGAAGTCATTTTTACGTTCATCACTCCATCCCCTCAAGTGGATGTTTTATGGTCTTGGAGGGAGTTACAGTGTGAACAAATGATCAATTGTTCGTTTTCTCAAACTCGCAACACACCTCCAACTATATCTGAGCCATGCCAACCCTCATCAAATCACACTCCGGTGCAACGACAATCACCCAGACCAGCAAAACAAAAGACAGTCACCCTTATCACATCTACACATACAATCCCAAAGCTCGAACTGGACATCTTAGTCGATCCAAACATCGAGCTCTGTCAACTTTTGGGAAATGAGGAGCAGAGCAAATGTATGGGCGTTATCCGTCGGGACGATGCAATGTACCACCTCCACCCAATCTCGAAGAGAAAACGACCGGATGATGACAGACCATTGACCCTGAATCATATTCTCTCAAGAAACTTCGATGGACACCTTACCCGACGCCAACGCTACTCTGTCGCCCTGCTTCTCGCATCTTCTGTTGCTCAACTTCAATTCACCCCATGGCTTCAAAAGAGCCTCACAAAAGACGACGTTCTCTTTTTTCCGTCTTTAGATGACGAGGATAATATACCACACCAAGAGCCTTTCCTTCGTCAAGGCTTCTCACCTCAACATTCCACAACCACGAGCACCAAAGCTAACGACTGTGACTTCATCTCACTTGGCATCCTCTTGTTAGAGCTCTGCTTCGGCCAACGACTAGAGGATCACCCTCTCCGCAAGAAATACGCAGTTGAAGTCGAAGGGTCCAAGGACGCCTTTGATCTTATGGCTGCCCTCAAGTGGTGCCAAAGCGTTACTGATGAAGGTGGCGATGACTATGCTTCTGCCGTGAAGTGGTGCTTCGTCGCGGGGGCAAGGGCCGGTAATGACTCATGGCGGAGTGAGTTAGTAAAGAATGTGATTAGGCCACTTGAGAAGTGCCTGGAATGTTTTAGAGCAGTAGGTCTGTGATAGACAAAGTCAAAAGCAGGAAGTTGTTCTCTCTTAGAAAAGATCCTTGGGATAACCCCAAGGTGCAATAATCGAAAGTAGTAAATACACGAAACGAAGAGATTCAAACCATACGCAGCCGCTTCATCGCGCTAAGTACTGATGTCATGAAACAGGACAATCAGTTAGAAGCTTTCTCTGGAATCAGTTTCACGTATTCTACGTTTATAATGACAAGACGCGTGAGGTACCTCGGCATCATCAGATAAATCCGATCTTCAATCGCAACATTGATAATGACTGCACGAACGGATCTTGATCTAGGATGAGGGAACATGGTATTTCGTATCACTATAGTGCTACAGATATCATGAAATTACAGTAGTACTGAGACAGAATCATGTTCAGGATGTGACATTGGTCCGGCCCTTGGCTTGGAATACCGGGAACTTCGCAACCTTAAAGAGATGTCCATAGGTACCCTCTACCCCTACCATTCCAAGACAAAGGTCCCTAGGTTCGCTTTCGTCGCGCGATTGGATGTAACTGGATTGTTCGGCGAGCGAAAAGAGCCTGGAAAGGGTCTTTATTGCGTGTGTGTAGTCTTTGCGCTGCTGTCGGACACCAACCTACTCATCTCTTCGCTCCTGAGACCGCGCAGTGCTCGGATCCTCTTCGCGGTCTGGTCGTTTGATGACGTACCAGGCTGCGAACCCTGCAAAGAACACCATGTTTGCGCGATAAGTATAGCGCAGAAGCGTTTTGAGGCGCGCGTTTGGTGGAGGGTTCATACTATGTCGTTTGAAACGAAAATGGGAGGTAGCTGGGCTTTCTCAAAATTGGTGTTTAGAAGTTGGACGGCGGTAGTCAAACGTCGTGGCTCCAGGGCCGGAATACTCCGTAATCCATGGTTAGTCCGATCGCAGCTAGCAGGGATCTTTCCCTGGCAAAAATCGCGGCGCAGCATAGCCACGCTAATTCCACCACTCGCAGGAGGGATCCACTTGCTAGAAATAATCTGATTGCCTAGTACTCCAGTCTCGGAGTTCGGAAACGAGTCGGATCTGATAAGCAATGATAAACGAATGATCTTGCCAATATATATAGCTGCCTGGTTGCCACCTTCAATCGGTATTACTGCCTTCCCTTCAGTTGCTCTCAGAGCTCGTAACTATGGCACCCAATGGCCCCCTTCAAGGAATTACTAAAACTCTTCCCATCGCTCAGGCGGATACCGAGATGGCAATTCTCCCTGTTCAGAGCACCACTCCATCAACACGTATGAAGAATGAAGACTCATTCCTAGTAGCCTATGACCCTTCCTTCGACATCGACAACCCCAAGGACTGGCCATCAGGAAGAAAGTGGGCGGTGACTGACGTCCTCTCGGCGACAGGTTTCAACCGCATAATGGTCAGCACTATCATGGCGCCTGCATTGACTACTATCGCAAAAGAACTTCATATGAGTTCTGCGGAGGCAGTCATGGCACTGTCCATTTACCTTCTTGCGACGGCATTTGGACCACTGGTCATCGGTCCGTTAAGCGAAGTCTATGGCAGGAAAAAGATCTTGCACGCTTCGAACATCTGGTTTCTTGTTTGGAACATTGTGTGTGGGTTTGCGAATTCAAAGGAAATCTTGATTGCTGCAAGATTTCTTGCAGGATTTGGAGCATCCAGCATATATGCGCTTGCAGGTGGTGTTCTAGGCGATGTGTGGAGACCTGAGCAGAGGGGTCAGTCGTTGGGAATCTATCTATTGATTCCGTTGCTTGGGGCTGCCGTTGGTAAGACTGTCAAATCAGGCCAAGCTATCGGTCCGCATTGCTAAAGTTCGTAGGGCCCATCATAGGAGGCTTTATGGCCTTCCGTACAACCTGGCGCTGGATGTTTTGGTCAACGTCTATCTTCCAAGCTGTCATGATCGTCGTGTCGTTCACCGCCTTCCAAGAGACATACCCTCCGTTGATCCTCGCACGTCGCGCTGCAAGATTGCGCAAAGAAACCGGTGATGGCCGATACTACACGCAGCATGAGCGCGCCATAGCCAACAGATCCATATCCTCGGTCTTGAGTAGAGCTTTAAGCCGCCCACTTCGATTACTGATCTTCCACCCCATCATTCAAATTACCAGTCTTATCTCAGCGTTCTACTATGGAATTCTCTATATCGTCCTCGCCAGTTTCGCGGAACTCTGGACCAAGCAATACCAACTTTCTCTTGAGATGAGTGGTCTGCACTATATTGCTTGTGCCCTCGGTGAGCTCGCAGGGGCGCAGTTCAGTGCGCCAGTCATGGATTATTTCTACCGCCGCATGAAAGCAAAGATCTCCGAGGATGATGTTGCCCCAGAGTACAGGATCTTGCTTATCTTCCCTGGCGCTCTGATAGCTCCAATCGGCCTCTTCATATACGGATGGACAGCACAATATCGTGTGCACTGGATAGCAGTAGATATCGGCATATTCTTGACGACGTTCGGGATGCAGGTTGCTGGTATGCCACTCCAAGCTTACACCATGGATGCGTATCCAGATCACACCAGTAGCGCCATGGCAGCGTCCCAATTCTTACGAAGCTTGACCGCATTCCTGTTTCCGCTTTTCGCACCGAGTATGTATGAGGCTCTTGGCTATGGTTGGGGAAACAGTGTGATGGGATGTACTGGGTTGATATTTGGGCTGCCAGCACCACTAGCGCTTTGGTATTGGGGTGCGAAGCTCAGGAAAAACGCGCGATTGAGTAATTGATAGGTGTGTTGTCCGGGAGCGACACAATTCGTCCGTATCGTCTAGTGTGGAAAGAAAGCCGCTATCATGCATAGATAGTCTCTGGAAGGCAAATGATAGAGAATATACATCGGATTAATTCCGTCACTCTGCAAAAGTCTGTGAAACATGGTCAATCATGAGCATCTTGACTGGTTAAACGATCATGCGATCTGTCTCTACGCCTAATGTTCTACCGTTTTGTTCTCTCTAGAAAGCGTTGTTTATCTTATTTAGGTTTCTTTCCTGATCTGATTTTCCGCTCTACCAACGGGACGTAGTAGGTTGCTCACTGCAATAGAACCGCAAGATTCTACAGAGTTAATTGACCTTTCGCCCCATTCACCTGCTGACTTTTATCTATCAAGTTACAGTCTTACATGGGCCCGTTCCTCATAACAGTGTTGACTATACCCAGTATTTTGTGCCACGAATGCGGTAATGGAGCACACTTGCTACTCAGACCCGTAGTGACCTTCCTTATACTATAATACCAGACATCTTACCAAAAGCCTATTGAATACAATACATGTCTTTGACTAATTCTCCGGTGAATATAAAATCCTCGTTGTTGACTACGCGCTCGCCGGTGTTGCTCGCAACATTTATAGTACTCGCGCCATGGACATCTTCGCTGTTGCTTGTAGTAGGTATCCATCGAAGCTGTATCATGCTTCTTGAAAACGGACAACAGTTTTTACAAAGTAACCTTTTCGAGAGCAAAAATCACCAATTGCGGTTCTCGCGCATCGGAAACTATCCCTCCAACCATAAATGCCCCTAGATGAGGCATCCGTGGCACTTCAGTATTTTCTGTTACCATATTGATCAGCCTCGACAATGACAACTATTACACAGTCACTTATTATGTGCCAATACAAGCACACATCTTGAGTTTAAGATAGCGGAAAGGTGAACATCCGACTTTCATCGTTTTGGTGAATTGACAGATCCTATAACCTGGTAACCAAACCTCTTGCATGTTCTACGTAAAATAGTCACGGCTCTGTGTCGTTTGATACCGTGCCTTGATGATAAGAAACCTGCATGAACTGCGTGTTGTACTACTGATTGTCACATCCGCAATGAATATATCGACTCATCTAGACAGACAAGACTAGCTTTCACGAGGTTTGTCCTTGATCACAGAACATAATAGTTGTTTTGGTCCAACATTATCTCAGGATCGGTGGAAAATACATCGGTGTCACCATTGGGCATTCTTTGGAAGCTACTCGATTGCTTGAGAAGTCTAGAAAGAAGTCCCACGGGTCGAAGGTAGTCCCAACAAAATTTCGCCAGACCAGAGGTAGCTGCACGGTAGCAACCCTGAGAACCGACGCAACATACGATGAACGTTTGTGCCTGATTAGCTTCACGCCTAAATCCCACAACAGAAGCGCGGACCAGGACGTGGCCCCTAATCGTGTGAAGCGCTTGCGGCCAGCGGCACGTAGCCCCCATACGACGCGGAGCTAGCGTGACCCAGCGGCTCGGGTTTCGCGCGCTTTTTTCATGTTTCGACGCGCCGGCGTTCTTGCAGAAAACGGTCCGCCCCTTGCTTGCTATGCTCGTGACGCGTATCACTTGACAAGTGCCGGTCCCCCACACATTTTCAGCGGTCAAGAGGCGCGCCATCGTCTTAGACCAAGACTTCAGTGTAGGCCGCATCCAACAGGTCCCATACTGAGCTGAATTTGTCGTAAGCCAATTTGAGGCATTTCCCGCTGTCTCTAGGCGGACATATCGCCGGCGAAGGAAAGACCACAACAAGCTACAACAAGACTACAACATCTCTGCCAGTCTTTCCAAGGACGTGTTGCATGATTGGTACAAGTGCACTATAAGATATGAGAAAGTTTGCCGCTGAGAAGCGCTGCAAATCCGCGTGCTTTTATTGCCAATCGTTCAGCGTATATTGAACACCGTCGAGTTACAAGCCCCCCGGTTGATGCATTTACGTAGCCCAAGCCTTCCCGACATGTCTCTGATTACACTCATTCCCATTCTCTGCGCTTTCAAACGTCACTTGTACCGTTCTTTCATACAAGATTGCCTCTTCACTATCATCATCCGCCTTCATGCCCCAGACGTTGACTCTCGATTCACGGTGACCAAGTTTTTTCCCATCACCTCTCATTTCTAACGGAATATTTTCTCTGTTCTCGTGGTCATCGACGGTATTCATCAAGGTATCAAACTGTCGTTTGGGTCTGCTAGTCATGCTGCCCCAGGTACGCAGTTTGCGGCTGTTGCTTTCTCTACGGGACGGACTGTCAGAGTATTCCCCGATGATGCGAGGAGCTACGTGTCTAAAAAAGCGGCGCAGCGTAGGAAGACAACAACAAATAACAAGCAGGTTAGATTCAACAAAGCTGTGATTGTACGTTAGCGTAAAGCATCCAAAAGTTTTGCGAGCACTTACATCCACAAAGTCCCTTCTCCAATGACCCAGGTTTGGTCCACGGAGGTCAAAGAAGGTATCAAAATGACCAGGCGGATGACTGAAGTAACTATGGTTCTGCTTCGGTCAGCGATGTACCAATGGCAAGTATCGAAAATGAAGCGATTACACTCACATAGACCCTACACCGAATATCCCAGTGAGCCCGACCTTCTGCTTCAATGGCATCTGCAATCTCCAGATAGTTGGTATTGGAAGCGCTATAAGTAACACATCTGTGATAATTCCAATCACTGCGGTCGCGATGTATATTGCTCCACGATTGATACATACGGCGATAGGTTGCAGCGTGGGATCCCAGCTCGCAGCAATAGGATGACACGCAAATACGAGACTGAAGAAAATGCCCGTGTAGGCGCCTACGATGACGAACAGTGTAGACCCTACAGCAATCTGAAAGACGCGATCAGGATTAAGGCGGCCGTAGAACAGACACAGAGCGGCTTTGGAACAAGCCATACAAGGAGCGTATACAAGTGGGCCAGCCAGAATAAGCCGAGAGTATAGGCCATAGTCATCCAGAGATATTTCCCACGCATGTACACCGATGACTCTGTAGTACCATCCAACAAGTAGAGTGGCTTGAGTAGCACAAGAAAATATCCAGGCGGCAAGAACAATGCCTGTTTTTTTATTAGCAATGTATTTGATATCTGCGTTGTGTACAACTTACCATCCTCGGTTTGAAATAGCTTCATCAGATAGCTTCTGATGTATACTCGCTGCAACAAAAAGGCGACGGCGAGCAGATTTTCTACCACAACAACAACATAAACCTCCGTTAAAAGCTGGCGTTGAGGGTTTGCAAAGTTGACCGAATAGCCAGGTGGAGGCGCCACAACTGTAAGAGTTCCGTTGATGTTCGCCATGGTAACACGAAAGCCACTCAAAGCAAAATATCTGCAACAAGATAATAAGGGACTCAACGATCAAATCGAGTATGTGCTTATACATTAGAGAAGTGCCCTCATGTCTTTATGCGTTTTGCTCGGTGATCAAAGTGTTCACAAAAAATTGAGGAATTCCCAGTTCGCTAGAGATGGGATGTGATTTGAACCCCTAGTTAGGGGCTTTCAAAACTGGGGTGAGGCTGGTCTTTGCTGCAGGAACGTTTCTTGACCCCATATGACCTGATTGCACTGCGGATCGTTACCACAATGTTTCAGAAGATCATGGCGCTTGTACCGTTTATAGTCATCTCAGGCCAAGCAACACGAATGTCATCCTTCTCGACGACAAGTTGATATAAATACAAACATCGTCCTTGAAGCTTGGTCGTAACTACATTCATGACGGACAGCTCATGTGTGAATGACGCACATACTACGTGGCGAAAACGTCCTCTGAAGTAGATGTATGCTCGTCTATTCAAACACAATGAACTGATGTATAGAAAGATCGTACGAGGTCAGGCAGCCAATTGAAAACCACAAGCATCCGTGCCGCTGCCAAGTAATAGTAACCGCTGCACTAGATCCTTCGTGTGCGGCAATTACTTTATTCGTGGCGAAGACATTCCCGCTCTCTAAATCAAGAGATGAGGGAAGTATGTCTTTCTTAGTTAGGTCGAAATATCATTCGAGCAAACACAGTGCTACAATATACTCTGATATTGCCCAGCCAAAATTCCCTTTAAACCTACCTTTTTACAAGATGCAAATTGCCGCGGGGTCGCTCTATACAACATCCGCGGAGTGCTGTTCTGTTGCAGATCGGCAAGCATAATGACTCGACTTGCATCCTTCCGAAGACCATAGCTTATCGAGTCTTCTTGGGAATTACTGTCACCTTCCAGTGGATGGACTCAAAAGCAAACCGTCCTGCTCCCTCGACGAATATTTTTTCTTAGGACATTAACGCTGTAAACAGTCACACATTATGAAACCTTTCACCCATTTACTTGGATCTCTTCTGGGCAGATCCTTCGTAGTGGATGACGCTGGAGGCCTGAATGATATGTGTGTATGTCAAATTCCAAGTCGCATTTGTTACATACAAGCCGGCTGATAAAGTGCTAGTGTAAAGCCATCGAAAGTGCTGGTTTGACCCACGTCCTTTATGCAAACGACGAGCAATATTCGAATCGCATCTCATCGTACTGGTCAGTCAGCGCACAATTGACCCCCAATTGTATCGTACAGCCACTCTCGACTGAGGAGGTTACCAGGGTAGTCAAGACTCTTGTAGCAGATGCAGACTGTAGGCAGACCCAATTTGCGATCCGTAGCGGAGGTCATAGTACATGGGCAGGTTCGAACAATATCCAAGATGGGGTTACCATCGATCTTGGACTCATGAACACCACCACCTTTGATCCAGACACCAGTATTGCTTCGATCGAGCCTGGTTCGCGATGGGGTCAAGTCTATGCCACCCTCGACCCATTGGGCGTCACAGTAGCGGGCGGCCGAGCGGGTACCGTTGGTGTGGCAGGTTTTTTAACAGGAGGGGGGAATTCGTTCTACACCGCACAGCAAGGCTTCGCTTGCGATAATGTGAGAAGTTTTGAGATTGTGCTTGCCGATGGGTGGGTTATAACACGTTTTGAAAGATCGGTGCTTCGGCTGACGGTCTTACAGAGAAGTGATCAATGCGAATGCGAACGAAAACAGCGACCTGTTCCAAGTTCTGAAAGGCGGCTCAGGAGCTAACTTCGGCATAGTCACAAAGTTCGATGTGCAGGCGTTCGAGGCTGGCAATTTATGGGGTGGCACGATGATTTACCCGAAGTCCGTCGGACAGCAACACATCGAGGCATATCATGCGTGGACCGAAAACGTCAACAATTATCCCGAGGGGTCGTCTATTATCTTCTGGAGCTACCAACCGGCTCTGGAGGATATTGTGATTCTTGCTGCTTATGAAGATACTACAGGTAACGAGGCGCCGCCCGGATTCGATGGGTTCATGGCGATCCCAGACGCAATAGCATCTACGATGAGGATTGCGAGCCACAAAGCCCTGACAGACGAGCTTGAGCAGGCTGCAGGATATCGGTGAGTTTGACTCAGATCGTAATTTCGGTTGTCAACACTAACATTGTCCTAGCAATATTTGGTTCACGTTGACGTTCAAGAACGACATACGGATTTACCAGAAGATTGTTGAGCTCCACGAACAACTCGTAAATGAATGGAAAGCAGACAGTCCTGATCCAAACTTCATAACTCAATGCATGTTCCAGTCTATTGCCACGAGCTTTTCTCAGCACAGCGTGGCAAAGGGAGGCAACGTTCTTGGTTTGAACAGAGAAATGGACAATGTCGTTATGCTTCTATACGACATCGCTGTTATGAGCCCCGAGTTGGAGGTGTTGGCAAGAGAGAAGCTCAGAAAATCTGGAGAGGCAATGAAACAGTATGCAGCAAGCTTGAACGGTCTGATTGACTGGACGTACATGAACTATGCCGATAGCTACCAGGTACGTGTATATATTGTTGTAATTACTGTCTGTTACTGACTTTTGTTCAGAATCCCCTAGGAAGTTATGGCCTCGAGAACGTAGCAAAAATCCGTGCCGCCGCCGCGAAGTACGATCCCAAACAAGTTTTCCAAACTCGTGCACCAGGTGGCTTCAAGATCTCTCAGGTAAAAGAAAAAGTGCGCAAAACAGAGCTTTGATAAGTCATGCAAGAGATTCACGACAGTGGCGAGTGCGTTGCTAGTAATTGCACATACTTTCCCTATGTCTACTGTTATCTCATAACTAAAATCCGAGTATCAAGCGCTCTTTGCAATTTGCTCAAATCCTCCCAATTTAAAGGGCACATTTAAAAACCTTGATACATCACGGAAAAGTACTGATACTGTGTCTCCGACTTGGGCACCTTCCATACCAAATCCACCCAGTCCTTTGGTTGTTACGAAGAAAAACATTGTATTAGCGTTTACCAGCGTGTGATTCAGCATTACTGAGAGCGGACGGGCGTGGCTGAATGCTGAGTTTGGACCCTCGCCAACCCTTATTAGAGCTTCGAACTTCTCTGCACACTCTTGTTGTGGAGGGATTGCAGAACAAGAACGAATGTTCCTGATTGCCCATGGGACAGACAATATCAATTCCCGTAGCGCCGCTCGGTCTCCCTACGTCCACAGTTCAGAAGCTGCCAAGCCAGATTGGTAAAGTTTTTGCGATTTGAGTATGAAGGATACAAACTCAACTTCTGTCAAGTTTTGTATTTCTGCCAGTCGAGATAGAGTTAACGTGTCAGCAAGCGCCTCGAATGCTGTCGCCGATCTAGGACACCGGATTACATGTGCAATTTCATCTACAACTGACGCCCCAACCACGAGGTCGCGATCTTTGACTTTGAGCTGAGTTGTTAGGTTCCGAGGTATTGCACGTTTCCACGCATCACGCCAGATGTGTTCGCGCATGCCTTGTGCCCATCCTTCTTGCGTACACGAAAAGTCGAGTGCCCAGGATGGGGAATCGTGATCGAACTTGTCCCTGGTTGACAAGACGGGAAGGCCATATAACATATCAATGAACATGTAGGGATTTGAGGATAAGACACTGACTGTGACATCAAGGTAGATCTGTGCTACGGATTTTCGGCAGTCGACAGTGTAATTTGCAGCCAGGTGTGCAGATGTCATACCAAGTGCACCGTACACCTTGTCCCGGGGGTTGGTGGCTTCGAATCGTATATTCTCGTACCAGAGGTACCAAAGAGGTTTTGGTTTTCGGTTGCCGTCCAACCAATAATCCCGGCGTTGACGAAGAAGGTGGTTGACGCCTGAGAATGCAAGATTATATCTCGCACGCATGAAGGCATGGCCGTAGGCAGAGGTCAAAAGGAGTTTGTCTGCGTGTAATTGAAGAATGTAACGAATCTTATGAATTTGTTCAAACTGCAGGTGGACAGTCCCAGGTGTAATAGGGGAGCATTAGGCCTGGCCAGAGTGACCTCTTGCACAACCCAGATACGCTTAAACCAGGGTCGTTGCATTAACTTATTAACTCCTTCTAGAAATATAAGGTCGTAATTTTACATTAACTTGCTGGCCCGGTCTACGACCGTAGGATCTGGCGGGATGCATAGATTATCCTAACCGATTCGATAGAGGGCTTCCACTACAGTCAACCAGCCCCCTGTACTAGGCAGGGGCCCCCTAGTACTAGGCGGGCTACCCCCTACTACTAGTAATTTACTCCCCTATATAGGGGGATAACCCCTAGTACTAGGAGGTGTACCTCCCTATATAGGGGGGTAGATAATCCTAGTATATAACTAGATCTCTAGCTATATCTATAAGCTAATTAATTTACTCTTATATACTTAGTCTTATAAGGGCTAAAAATTATACTCTACTTATTAAAATCTATCCTACTAAACCTTAATAATATACCCTAAAAATTATAGAATACTTACTAAACCTAATATTTTATCTTAATAATTAAATCTTAATAAAAAATCTCTTTATATATAGTTATTTTATAGGTGTGTAATAATAGATAGTTTACGTACTACTTTCTACTCTTTTTCTTTCCTTCTCTCTTTTCTATATCCTAATACTAAGGCTTTAATCTAAATATTATTAGTAAGGATTAATTTCTTTATTTAAGAACAGAAATAGCGTCTATACTAGGGGATAACTATCTCTCTATAACTAGGGGCTTATTAACTGTAGTGTCTCTATAGTGTTACTAAGGTACTATATTAGTGTAAAATATACTAGGTTAGGTAAAATTACACTGCGTATAAGAGTAAATTTACACTTTTATACTATATCTAGCTAAATTTACCTAATATTCTAAGTAATTTATACTAATTCTAAAAGATTTATATACTTTATTCCTTTTAAATTACTACTATATAAGAAATCTTTATAAAGAGAAGAGAGTAAAATAAGTAAAAATAGACTTTTATTTATAATTATTATATAATTACTACCTTCTTCTTCTAAGCCTTAACTAAATTATATATTCTAATATAGTACCTAATAGATTAAATACTATATTAAGGCTATATAACTATAAGTAAACTATTTATAAGTAGCTTAAAATATAACTTTATACTAGTTAATAATAAAGAAGCCTTTACCTAACTTAAATATACTAGGCTAGAAAATAATACTATTAAAGTTATACTTAGTAGTAAAAAGTATAATAATTAGGTTCCTACTATAGTTAAGTAAGTACTAAGTAGTAGTATTATTACTTAAGTAACCTACTATACTAGTATAATATAGAAGGAATATTATAAAGATTATATAGCTATGCTTAGTACTAGTCTAGGAATTTATAATAATATAATATTAATTATTTATAGCTAGAATACTGTTTAAACTATATAAAATATATAAAGTAGAGATATTATAGTAGTATATATTAAATAAAAAGAAGTAAGTTTTAACTAAAATAGCTTAAAGTTACTATTAGAAGTATACTATAGTTCTAAAGGTACTAGGTATTAGTAGTATAGCTATATTTAAGCTTACTTTATTTAAAGCTATAAAAGAACCTACTCTATTATTATTATATATAAATATATAGTTAAAGAGAACTTATTAGTAGCTATTAATATAGTTATTTTATAAACTATAATTAGTATTATTAATACTAAAAGTAAAAGATTAGATTAAGGTTAGCTTATAAAGTAAGGTAAGTAAAATATATAGTAAATATTATTATATAAGAAGTAATAGTAGAGGTCTCTATACCTATTACTATAAGTAGGGAAGTAATTAAGACTAGCGTAGGTATAGAGGTAAGTAGTAACTAATTAATTACTATTTAAATAGAATATAGAGACTATAGATAATAAAGAATATAATTAAGAATAGCTATTTCTAAGTTAAAGAGATTAAAAGGTTAGAGTTAATAAATAAGTATAAATAAGTTAAAGTAGGTAAAAGTATATAAAAGTAAGGTTATATATATATAGGCTAAGCTATAGTAATATTTAGTTATAGTAAAAATACCTATAATTCTAAAAATATTAGCTACTTAAACCTACCTATTTAAATAGTATTTATTAAGGTTATAAGAAGAAAAACCCTATATAATAGTAGTTAGTAAGTAGTATTTACTTAGGCTATTATATAAGTTATACCTATTATTATAGCTTCTACTTTAATATAAGAGATACTAATAAACTTAACTATTTATAGATACTTAGAGGTTTATAATAATAAATAACATACCTAGGAATAATTTAATAATTAATACTTTATATTAAATAAAATCTACTTTGTTAGCCTTATACTATAATTCTAAATACTAAGTACTAATAATAGTAATATTTTATATAATTTCTAAAAGAGGTAGGAACTCTATATACTAACTATAGTAGAAGTTAGTATAGTTATATATAATTATCTTATATAAGGTATTTTATAAACTACTATATTAACTCTATAATACTAGTTACTAAGTTTAAGCCTAATAGGAAGTTTAAAAAAGAGTAAGCTATAAAGTAGTTAAACTACTTAAGAAATACTAAATTTAAAGAGAAATAATTATACCTATAGCTCTATTATAGATAATATAGATTACTTACTATTAATAGAAAAGTATATAGTAAAAAATTAAATATCTATACTACTTAACTTATTACTATTATAGGCTTTTTTATTATAGAACTTTATAGATAATACTCTATATAAGTAAAGTATATTATTCTAAGTAATTAGATATATTTATAAAATTTTAGTTTTAAGTAGTATTAATATACGTTAGCTGCTAGTACTGTATTATATTAGTATAAATATAGATAAATATACTAGGCTTAAGGCTATTACTATAGCTATAGTAGATATAGTAGTAGTACTACTTATACTTATAGCTATATATATACCTACTACTATAGTTACTAGCTTATTACTCTAATAACCTAAAACTATTAAGTCTATACTACTTAGTTTACCTATAATAGTTACTATAATTACTACTATAGCAGCTATAGTTATAAAGCTAGTGCTATATTCTACTAAGTATAGTATAGATTTACGTATAGTATTATATAAGGCTATATAGTATACCTTTTTCTAAGAAGCTACTTTTAACCTTTAAAGTAAAGTTTTATAGTATTCTAACTACCTTTTTAGATAGTAATATATAGAGAATATCTTTAGTATATACGCTAGTAAATCTTATAAAGTCTATAGTACCTAGCTAATATTCTAGTAGCTATAAAAAATATATAATTAATAAAACTACTACTATACTTATTACTACTTTCTACTATAGCCTTCTTAATAGTAGTAGGCTAAAGTTCTATAACTTTGTATAAGATAAGATCTACTATTCTACTACTTATATTATAAATAAGAAATCTATTATTAATTATAAACTAGGTATTTTATACTATACTACATAAAGTCTTAAAGTATATAATATAGTAGACTCTAGTTCTATTATAATAATAATATTCTTAAGTTAAGAAAATTTTAATAGGTTAAAGCTAGCCTTTTTAATAGCCTAGAGTATATAGTCTTTTATAATATTAGACTAGACTACTAGTATAGTTACTACTAGAGTAATAGGTAAGAATTTCTAAAGTACTTTTCTATACTTTTTATTAAGATTCTTAATTAAATAAGCCTTTACCTATATAAGAAAATCTATATACTAGTATAAAAGTAATTAACAAAGTCCTCTAAAGCGCTTTTCTATACTTTAAGTTAATATACTTAATTAAGGAAGCCTTTAGCTAAACTAGAAGATTTATAATAATATTAATTAGTTACTTACGTATACTCTAAGTAAATATAGAGAAAATCTTAGATATATATTTTATTTATTAGCTATTAAGCTAAAGCTCTATTCTCTAAAATACTATAGTAAGCCTATAAAGACCTAGTTTATTTATTATATATTTCTAAATTATTTATACTAGTCTTAAATATATTACTATTATCTTAGTTATTTTTATTATATATAGTATTCTTTCTTATATTACCTAGGTTAGTAGGTATAAGGTAATTATTTTAAGATAATATAGCTTTTAATAATATTATATATTTTCTACTACTAGATTTAATAATAGATAGCTTAGAAATCTCTTTTATATTATTACTACTAGAGTTTTTATATATATTAAACTAACTATTAGCCTAGCTATATATATTTTATATATTATATAAGGTTTATTATAACTTTATATTTAGCTATAATTACCTTTTCTAAACTAATACTTTAAATTTCTCTAAGATTACTATATATAATATAGTTATTAGGAAATCTATTACTAAAGAGTAAAATATTTCTAATACTAATATATTTTATAAGGTTTTAACCTTTAGTTATATATCTTATAGAAAGATATCTCTTATAGGGTTAGGGTTAGGGTTAGGGTTAGGGTTAGGGTTAGGGTTAGGGTTAGGGTTAGGGTTAGGGTTAGGGTTAGGGTTAGGGTTAGGGTTAGGG